AATGTCCTCAGTTTGATGCAAATACAAGGATGTGTGTGTGTGTGTGTGTGTGTGTGTGTGTGTGTGTGTGTGTGTGTGTAGGCCTACATATTTTTGGCTACCTAGTGGGGACGATTTTTGACCTTTTCCCTGTACACACAGCCTAGTGAGGACCTTCTGTTCCTTATGGACAAAAGCTCGTTCCTCACTGAGGGAAATTTGTGTATCAGGGGTTCAATTCAGGTCTAAGTTGTGAATTGAGTTTTGGTTACTAGGGTCAGGTAGCTACTGGGGGTGGTTAGGTTTAGAAGTAAAAGACAAAACTACTTCTGTCGGTTGGTTAGCAACAATGAGAATCTCATGAAACACTGGATGGATTTTAATGCAACTTTTTGAAAGTAGGCTAATTATGTAATCACTGTAATTGTAATCATGTTTATGTTCGCACTGTGAGTTAGAATTTTTGAGTTTCTCTGCGTGGAGTGAAACTGTGGAATAATTTGAGTGTGGAGTTGAAGCAATGTCCAAACATAAAACTGATTAAAATAAAGTCTAAGGGCARCACCACGGCTCAGTGGTTAGCACCGACGCCTCACAACAAGAAGGTCCTGGATTCGATCCACGTTTCGGGCCTGGGGTCTTTCTGTGYGGAGTTTGCATGTTCTCYTYGTGCTTGCGTGGGTTTTCTCTGGGTACTCCTGTCTCCCCCACCCCCCAAAACATGTACAATAGGTTGCCTTCAGGCCCAGGCCGCCCTTGAAAAAGAGATCTGAGATCTCAACGGCACTTGCCTGGTAAAATAACGGTAAATAAAATAAAATAAGGACTTTTTTTCATGGATTGTAAAAATATGACAGTCTATTAAGAAATAATAAATGAATATTGTAAATATGTCTATTATTCTATTAATGGGGAGTTAGATTGGTGAAGGTTGGTAATAACTAATGGAGAAGGGGTGGGATTAAATATGTTTGTACTTCTTTTTCTTTTTTGACATGTGACCTATACAAGAAAAAAATGTAGTGATACTTGTACATTTTTTATTTGTTGTTTCTCTCTTATCTGCATGCTTAAAAATGTACAAATCATTAAGTTTGGGAGTCAGCCAAATGCAGTTCATTTAAATGTATTTATTCAACAAAATCCATCTCAGGGAGTTGTACAAAAGTTCAAATCATGAATTCATTTCAGATCCAGCTTTTCAGACATACATTCACGTCTTTTCGCTTTAGCAATACCTTCACAATTAAAATGTTACACATAAATAAATAAAAACATTACTATTTTGGGTTTAGCTCCAGTATCAGCACTTAGTTGCAATTTTATTTAACATTGCTGCATAAATTTCATCAGCTAAGTTGCTAAACATTCAAAAGAAAAAAAACTCAGCCATCTTCGTTTTTCTCTTTAGTTTGCTGATGTCGCATTGCATCCTGAGATGTCCTCTCTGCCATTAAGGATACTCAGATGCAGACTTCATTTTTGGGATTTTGTAGGCCGCATTTGTGGGCCGCATATGGAGCCTACGAATTGGGACAGCACTTGGTGCCGAGCAGTGAAGTAAGCAACCAACAAATGTGCACTCGGGAGGATGTAGCCCCTGAATTGATGCACAGCCAAAGAAACCCAAACACTCGAGGACTGGAGTAGGTAAGGTTTTATGGAAATGGAGGAAAAACAGATTAATGACATAGACCTAATAGACGGCGTCATGGGTAGGATCAAAAGTTATCTGGTATAAAACAAACCCGTGTCACTATTGAATGAGAGGCATGTTTTCCCATTTATTGATGAAGTTGACGTTTTTTGCAATCCATGGCTGAAAAAACATTGGACGAGTTGAGATGTGTCAGTGCTTTAAAGGACTTTTTGTGGGCGAAAGGTCTGAAATACAGCAAGATGAGGAAGGAATATAGCTGTTGTCCCTGATTATGTTGCCAGAGTTATGTCCTACTCCTATGAATGAAATTTCTTTCATTTTGTATCTGACATTTTTATTTTTCTCATGATATTGAATCAAGAATGACCTGTGATCTGGAAAAGTCAGGTTCACACTAACTCTGAAATAGTCTATTGCCTTCTTTACCAGGCTGGGAGTTGCTCCAGGTCAGGTTGTCACTTATAGGAGCACTCGCTTCTACTGTATTGTTGTTCCTGGTGTCTTCCCTTCCTGAAGTTTACAATCATTTTCTTTGGTCTTCTTTACATTAAGACTGTTTTCCTTGCACAAACCCTCCAGATGTTCCACCTTCTGTCTGTAGCCAGATTCATCATTGTTGGCAACACATCCCACCACAGTTATGTGACTACAGCTGTGTCAGCCGAGAACATCAAATTATAACAGCCCGGGCGTTTTGTGAGCAGGATGAACAACAGGGGGCTCAGCACACAGCCCTGAGGAGACCCAGTGCTCAGTGTGATAGGGGCAGTGATGACAGTCGCAGTCTTCAGGCAGGTGGAGACAGCTGCTTGTGTGAGAGAAGTGTTCGTTATTTCTGCTAGAGCCAGAGAGATGACGTCCCTCAGCAGCCTCCCAGGAATGTTATCAGGGACAGCAGCTTTGTGGGGGTTGATTCTCTGGAGTGTCATCCTCACTTCTGTTGGAGTCACACTTAGGGGCTTTTCATCTTTTCATGAACACGAGGAACAGTGGCTTTAAGGACTAGGATTGGACATCTCAAGTTGGGCAATAATAAAGCTGTAAGAACATGGCACTGCAACTGTTTTTATTTGTCAGATTTGTTTTTAGTATTTTGTGGTTTATGTGCGTTTTGTGATCCATGAGTTGTGTTTTACTCACTTAAGGTGTCCCTGTTTGCCTCAGTGTTTTTCCTCAGCCAGTCTCGTCACACCCACCTTCACCTGTTTGCAGTCTGTTATCAAAGTGTCTCCAATTCCTCATCAGCCTAGCTCTATTTATCTAATCTCCTGCCATCCCTATTTCAGCGGTGCGTTATCCAGTGCATCGCCTCAATTCCTCTTGGGCTCATGTATGGTCGCTGTTGTTCCTGAGTAAGATTTTGTTTGTTTTGTCAGCATTTTGGGTCCAGTCCTCCACTGGCTGTGGCAGGCACCACATCAAACCGATCAGTCAGAACTCCAAAGCTCACACAGGTATATTGATCAGATGTTACATTAAGGGTTAGGTTGTTAAAGGGGTTGTGACATTCCTTCTACAGAACCATTAGAAGCATTACGCTCAGCTGAACTAACAAAACATAAACATAAAAACATCTCAAAGACACTCCAGAGGACTCTCTGCTCTAATGAAACAATTACTCAACATTTTAGCCATCATGCATAATAGTTTGGTGCAAAGCCAGCACCCTTTATTGTCCAAAGTGACATGGTGGAGGTGGCAAACCTTTCACCAACACATTCTGAGAAGATGGTCTGAACTGAGTTGCAGGCTGCTGTGAGCTTGTGTGTATTTATATGATCCAAAGCATCCATAAGGATATTAATTTACCAAATACACACAATATATCACTTTCAGTGCCTGCTTCCTTATTTGACTATGGACAATAAAAAAATACAGTACGTTTTATTTTTTGGGTAGACGGTAAGTACACAATTGCAGTCATGACCTAATGTTAATCTGCTCATGTTTTTGTGGGTTTTAGACGGTCGTAAAATTTTGCACACAGATCTACAATATCAGAGCTGGTTCAATGGAAGAGATTTATTAACTCAATATATCAAAATATTGCACCTGAAACATGTGCATCACTAACAAAATCTGTTTTTTTATTAATTTGGTTATGCATGTTCTCTGTTCATTGGGAGGTGCTGCAGCACCTTCTGCATCCCTACTTTCCACAGACTTATCTGTAGATACTGTATGATGATGGATAGGYGCCAAATAGGAAGCACTTTTCCGTGCCAATAATACCAATTTTAGGCTTTTTCTAGTGCTGTTTAAATGGGTTACCTTCACCCAGCATAAGGAGAAATAACCCAAAATGGAAGAAAATCAAACAGGACATTAATTTCACCTGCAGTGGTACATCTTCACACCAGCTCTACCTCTATTCTAATCCACATCTCATTAAAACACAAAAGTTCAATTAGCAATTAATGACGTAATCACAAAATTAAAAAAAGCTATTTTCACTTTCCTCCTCTTCAGT